CACTTCGGTAATTTTACCCCTACAACTTTACCAGTCCTTGGAGTTTCATCCATTGACAACTCAGTAAAGAAAACTGCATCTGAATAGTGTGCCTCTTCCACTCCGAATGGCTTTTCAGACGCATTTATGGTCACTGTGCGCTTTTCCAACTTTGCTTTCACGCATTGATGATAACTGGACGGGATAGCCCCATATTGGTGCATCCAAGCTCTGCCAAGTATCATATGGTAATTTGTGTATGTTTCAATCACATGGAACTTAGTTATGGTTTGGATTTCACCAACTGCTAACTCCACGAGAACATGGCCCCTAGTAACTTTTAGGGCTGAGGAAGAAATCCGTAAAATCCGTAATCCGATCCAGTCCAGTCCAATCCGATAGGTTTGGATTGGTTTTTTGAATCCGTGGTTCGGTTCCGGATTGAAGAATTAAAAATTCGTAGTCCACGGATTGGTTCCGGATTGAACCTCACGGTTCCGGATTAGAATCGATCCGAACCGTATACAAATAATCTATATTTTTATTATACATCCTCCCCCATAGTATCTTCTCTTATTTTATATAAATCTAAACTCAAACTTAAACCTCGTATAATATCTTATTTTATTACTTTTGTTTGTTAGTTTTTAGTTTTAATTTGTAATGGTCTAAATACTTATGGTGAAACCAATTTTTTTATGATTGTTTAAATTCTAGAACATTATGTCGCTATTATAGAAAAACTTGTTGCTATTATAGAAGTAATATAGCGCTATGTTTATATTTTTATAAAATTAAAGTGTTATATATATATATTTTTGTTATTTAATTATGTGAATCCGTGGTCCTAAACCGATCCAATCCGTGTTTAAATGGATTGGTTCGGATTGGTTCCAAGATTTAAACGGATTGGATTGGTTCCGATTTTTTAGGAACCGTAGATAACGGATTGGTCTTGGTTTTATCCCAATCCGGTCCAATCTGGACCATGCTCACCCCTAGTAACTTTTTTCTTACCACCAAAACCCGTTACAGTGATCGGTTGGCGAATCATTTTGGACTCTTAGATACCAGCCTTTGCAAATGTGTCAGTAGTGATGATGTTTATGGACACCCCACCATCAAGGAAAGCAATCTTGAATTCTACATCATTGATGTAAGCTGTGACAAAGAGAGGACGGTTATGAGGAAATAGGTATGCTCTATCTACTTCTGAAAAAGTAATGACTCCATAATCTTCCTGGATGCGCCGAGGCACATACTCCTCAGCCTCAGCAGCTTCAGCATGGTGCACTTCAGAGATGTTGATGAGGGCCTTTGTTGCTTCCATCCTGGCGGCTTGGCTCAACCCCAGCTGGTCAAAGAAGGTGCAAAACTTAACAGAGTTTTACAAGGCTTGAGCATGAGTATCCTTTGTGAGTTTTGCCTCTGCAAGTGCTGTCTTAGGGAGCTAGCTGTTGGCAAATTCTTCTAACTCATCATAGTAGGATGCCATGTGCACTTGATCGTGCACAGGCCTAAGATAGCCAATCATGTGTACATTCTTCACTTTCTCCTTATGATTAGGATATGGATCCTTCCTTACGTCACGATTATTGGCATCTTTGAACTTCAGCTCATTTGCATCAACTTTCTTCTTGAAAATGCTTTTCAACGTCCAACAGTCCCTAGTAGGGTGTCTGGTGGTTCTGTGATAGACACAATAATTTGGGCTTTCTTTGTCCTTCTTGGTTGGAGTAACATCAACCGGAGGCAAAGTAAGTTCACCATCAGCGACCCATTCTTTAACCTAGGTGTAAACACCCCATTTTTGACCGACCTTAAGACTCAGGCGTCATCGATTGAGCGCTCGGTGATTGCGCATGTTGGCTCGTTCGGAGGTTTCAGAGTCTCGGCTGAGAGCCTTGCCTCCGAGCCTCGGAATCTTTTGTAGTTTGCCTCGGTTTGCGAATCAGGTTCTGTTTTCTCTTCCCTAAGGGAGGGAGAGGCCTCGTAGACCATCTCTCAGTGGCCGTAGGCTACGTTTCGTGGTCGTAGACCACTGTTCCCGTTTGTAGACCAGTTTCCAGTTTTCGGAGCCATCGGTCGTGCGCCTCGGTTCGGGACCGCTTAACTTTCTCCGTTTGCTCCGGTTTTTGGCACACACCTTGTTTCCTCTCTCTAGAGGGACACTGTGGCCCGGGAGACCACCTTCGTGGTCGCACGCCACTTTCGATGCTTAACAGTCAGTTTTCGGGGCCTCCGGCCGCGCGTTTTGACCCCCGAACCCTCGTTTTGCATCCGTCTTGGTTCATTTTTGGCATGGACCCTAGTTTCATTGTTTGGAAGGTGATACAAGGGTGGGAGACCACCTTTTCTCCTTAGAGACCAATTTTCCCGGGTCGGCCAGTTTTCTTGACAGGCAAGTGGTCTCCCTCACTTTTGTGCCACAATTACTGGTCTCCCACCACACCACTGGCTTGCATTCACTTGGGAGACCACCCTAGGAGGAGGCCGACCACCTGGACCTTTTGAACCTGGTCGGCCGACCAGGGGGAGTGGTCGGCTGACCACCTGAACTGGTCGGCCAGCTTTCTCTTTTTCTGTCTCAGTGAGTTGTTGCCAGCTGTGCCAGCTGGAAGCCTCAGATTGCATCCTCCATACACGTGTATGGAGGATGTTTAAAGTTGGTTTTAAGCTTCTTGAAGAAGCTTTAGGCCCTTGGCTCTATAAAGGAAGAGCCCCTTTTCCTTTGCAAGGGTTGAGGAATTGTTTTAAGGCATACATACACTCCCCTCTCTTTGTCTACATTTTTAGCTTCAAAAGCCCTTTGTTCTTGGCCCTTTACACACCACCTCACAACCACACACCTCCACCATCACTCTAAGCACCTTGGAGCTGGTTTTCAGAGGTTGAAGGTTTGTTATTTTTGGTCCAGAAGCTGCTGGAGGTCTTCTCTACAAGGGTAACACTTCTTTCCCTTTTTTAAGCATTGTTTTTCTTCATACATTAGCTCTATTTGCAAGCATATTTGGGCTTTGTCATAAACTGAAAAAAGCCTTATTTTGAGCTTCTTAACAAGTTTTTTTAAGACCATTTTTTTGTTGGGGGTCATTTACCCCATTGCATGCTTCATTTCCCTTTGTTTTGAGCCATGCATTGGGGCCTTCGTGTTGAGCTTTGTTAGCCCTTTTGACCACTGAAATATGTGTTTTTGAGTGCCAAAATCAGAGAGGGGTGACCCTCTCACCCCTTGTCTTGTTTTCTAGCATCTTTGGCCTAACAAAGGAGCCCTTATTTGCATGCTTCCAAGCCATGTTTCAGGCTATTTTTGGTGGGTTTTAGGACCTGCATAGGCTCTGTCCAAAGCCCATTTTGCCATTTTAGGTGTCCATCTTGCATGTGTAGAACAACCCTCTTTTTAGCCTATCAAAGGAGCCTATCATTCTTGCATGCATGGACCATATTTCAGTGGGTTTTTGGGCTTTATTTTGCATGTCATACCTCTGACTTTTGCTGGTTTGGTGGCCACTTGATTGCCTCATATACTTGTAGTGCAAATCCTCTTTACTAGCTTGTGTTGCATGCTATTTTGGTCCTTGATTCTAGCACTTTTTGGCCATGCTTTAAACTGATTTTGTGCATGTTTTGGACTACCTTAGCTCTATTTTTTATGCCTCATGGTCAAAAAATGCTTGCTATGCATGGTTGTAGTTCAATACCCTTGCCTAGCTTTGTGTTTTAGAGCCTATTGCGTGCTCATGTTGAGGTGTTTCCATGTTTTGGGGCCATTGTATATCATATTTCAGAGCTTATATGTATGCCATATTCCCATGTTTTCCACTCTTTAAATGCGTTTGAGAGTTGTGCATAAATGCCTCGTTTTCGGACCATTGCATGAGCTTCATTTCTATGCATGTTGAGCCATCATTTTAGTCCATATTTGCTACTGTTTTGGTCTGCATAGGGACTGTTTGGGGATGGTTTGGTCATTTGAGCATCGCTTTGCATACCTTTAGTGTAACGCACTTCACTAGTTTCGGTATTCGGGCCATCTAGCATGCATTGTGTGACATATTTGCATGATTCGGGACCATTGTGCATTATGTTTCAGAGCTGGAAAATGTGTGTTTGTATGCCATATTTCATCCCTTGCCATGCTTTGATAGAGTGACATTTGATGCCTTAGGTTCGGTCCCTTGCATCGGGTATGTTTGCATGAGTATTCCTACCTTTCATTCCCTCATGTTTGGCCACTGATTTGAGCGTGACTGAGGCTCATTCATTTTAGTTTAAGTCCATCTTGCATTATATATGTCATATCTATGTTGTCGCATGCTTGATCGTCGCATTGTGTATGTCTTGTTCATGTCTTCGTGCATGTCCGTCTTCGTATGTGCATTGCGTATGCCATATAGTTCATGTGCATTGAGTATGCCATTCGTAGTTCGTAGCATTGTGTATGCTAGTTGCACCTTTGCATGTCATTCCTTGCATGTTTGCATGTCTTAGTTGCATTTCGTTTAGGATTGCATGCTAGTTGTTGCATCGTGTTTGCATGACGTGCCATTTTAGTTGTTGCATAGTGTTTGGAGTAGGATTTAGTCCAAACATGGGAAACGAGGGACGTTTCGTACTCAAAGTGACGAAACGTGCCTCGATTCTCGGTCGCCGACACTCCGGATTACCCATGATGGAGTTTAGGCCTTGTTGTGTTTATGTGTGCATTCATTTTACATCGAGTCGTGCAATTCGACTCCTCGGCCATCATGCATCGAGATGCGTGATTGGTGGCACGAGAATCGAGGACTACACTCCCTAGAGCTTGTGCAATGATGGGGAGAGTCGTCGTGCATACGTATGTTGAAAATACACTGCCATGCCCTTTTCTTGCTCTCTGTTGCATCAAACCGGAAACCAGCAGCAAAAACTGGTCAAGCAGCCTTCTGAAGCTTTGTACAATATTTCGGGACCAGTCGCAAACAGGGGCAAATCGGGGCATCGCGATGGATTTCCCGACAAGGCGGCCCGAGCATGCATGCATCCTTATCATTCGGAACAGAGCTGAGGTAGTCCGTTTTATTTAAATTAGCATGCTAGCTTATTTATCTTAATTAATTTGTTAATTAATTAGGGTTGTGTAATAATTAGTTGTAGTTCATTATTCATTCGGTTATGTATTATTATTCGGACCCTCTGATGAGGGCAATGTTGTAATAAGTGTGTGATGTATGTCTTCCAACCACACGTCTTTCTCCTTTTTATTTACTAGCTTATGTTGGTTAGTTTAGGGCACGTTTCAATTAGCATACTTATGTTCGCATGTGTGCATTCATTCATCTGTTTTGCATACACCGGGCTTGGCGCATCATACTAACTGCATTGTATCTCAATTTCAAAGTTAAATACATGTTATCTGTTACATTTCATATGCCATGTTTAGAATAGCCGAGCCTATCTTAATTGCATTTTTGCATGTGTTGCATTAGGCATTTCAGCATAGTTAGGATTCATACATATTTTCTAATTAGCTTCTTTCTTTGGCTTGGAGTACTCGGTAAGTATTTATGCTTTAGCATCCTTGCATGTGTGTGAGTGACTGCCATGATAGCATGCTTACTATGAGGCTATGTGCTTATGTGATATATCTGCCTGAATGCCTGTGGGTGGAGGTTGGGTTATTTGAATTGGAACAATGCATTGATTGCGCGTTTTAAGCCCACTTGAGAGTGGCAAATCATCATGTTTTCTTAAGCCCACCTGAGGGTGGCAAATCCACGTCTTAGCCTACTTGCGAGTAGCACTATCAGACCATCTTTCAAATAAACAAACATGAAATATTTTGTTCCAACTCAGACGATCCAGTCTATATTTGTATGTTGTGTGCATCGCATAGTAATTCTAGGCTAATAACCGGAATAAGAGCATATAATGTTTTCAAAACTCGATATCATGTTTAGTAGAGGCCGATCTTTGATCGGGCGAGTAGGGGTGCTCACGAAGTGATCTTCCCCAATCGTACCCAAGTTCTCGAGCCGAGACAACTTTGGTAATGACGGACACGTGGCCTTAGGCAACGAGTCAGGGTTTCCTAAATTCCCCCTAAAATAAAATATTTAGGTGGCGACTCTGTATCTGGCAAAGCAGTCCATGTTTGGCACTTCTTTTAAAAAAATCTGTTTTCAAAACGATTTGTCGGATTTGGACTCTTTGATGATTTATCGGTCTTGCATTGCACTCTGCGAGATTAGATACAGGACCGTGACATTGAGTCCTGAACTGTAGTGAGCCCAATGAACAAAACGGGGGATTCTCTCTCGGGACGTTCGGGGACGTTTACACTAGGCCTTGACATTCTCAAGGCTGCAAGGATATGGATTCCTGTCTTCATAACTCTTCCTCTTTCGAGAGGACGAGGCCTCTACTTGCGAGTGGCTCCCTCCTATAGAGGTTACCGCAGCAACTCTACTACTGCGAGAGTAGCGGTGGCTGTCACGAGATTTGTATAAAGGACAAGTGGTTCTGAGGTTTCTAGTTGCCTCAATCAAGGCTGAAAATGTAGGCAGATTATGGTTCCCTAAAAAACTTTTGTAGTCGCGTATGGCACCCTCTACACATATGCTGACTAAGTGAGCCTTATCCACCGGCTCATAACAGTCAATAGCCTTGTCTTGGAACTGCTTAACATAGTCCAGTATATCTTCGCCTTCTTTTTGGACAACTCGCCCAAGTGTGAGGGTTGTAACTTTCTCTTGGACTTGGAAGAACTTCGTGTGGAGCTTGTTCACCATCTCCTTCCAACTCTTGATTGAGTTGGGAGCCAAGTTCACATACCAAATGTAAGCCTTTTCAGTAAGTGATTTGAAGAACTCCTGAAGGCGCAGAGAGTGGTCACTGCCATGGGCGCCAAGAGTTTCAATGAACCTCACCACATGTTCTCTGGTATTGCCTTGTTTTCCATCAAACTTAATGAATTTGGGCACTGTATACCCAGTTGGGTATGGCATGGTCAATATCTCCTGAGAGTATGGAGGCTTCACATCTGGGTCTGGAAGAGATGGAAGTTGTTTCTTGTTGCGCTCTTGCTTGAGCATAGCTTGTATGTTGGCTAGAGTAACAAAGTGAGTGGGCTGGAATGGTCCAATCTGCTCCTGAGTAACTAAACCAACGGCTGTTCCGTTTGCCTGAGGTACCACCAAAGGCACTTGGATCGGAGCCCGAACCTTAGGGAACAAGTTAGGCACTGGGTTTGGGACTGCTACAGGAGGAGGTTCTTGCACCGAAGCTAGCCTAGAAGCCATGGCCATAATAACCTCAGTGAGAGTTTGCAAAGCTGCCAGGATCTCCCTCTGCGTATCCTGGAGTGACTGAACTACCTCAATCACAACATTGTGGTCAT